AAACAACAAACAATAAATAATCACAATTAAATAATTAAAGGTAAAGGAGAAATGAATTTGGGCCCCCTTTTTGGGCCAATTTTGCTGAAAATTTTAGCCTTTAAACCAATCCCGTTTTGCATATACACCGATTGTATATCGGTGTATATCGATCGTTTCTTAGCCCTTTTTCCTGTATATCAACCCATATACTGGCTGTATACAGTTTGCTTGGACGCCTCCAACCTGTATCTTCGTTTTTTGGCCACATATTTGTTATACTGAACCTGTATATCAGCATATAATGCTGTAGACAACATGTATACTGCCCACTTTCAGACTTTCAAGATTTGGAATTTTAGTTTCCAACCATGTTTGCTACTTTCAATATGTCCATCTTCTCCACTTGACTCGAGAGGAAGAAAGATGAATTTAGGCCTTTATGGCCTACTTCGAAATGCAATGGAGGAGAGAAAGGAGTCCAATATGGACTCAGTGGGAATTCACATACGACAACGGAAAAGAGGAAATATATTAGTGTAGGTTCAAATGACGTGAGAAAGAGAACATATTTAAAATTCCAATATGATTAACACGCACCAAAATAAATTGTGCTAAGCAGGAAATCTAGATGACTTTGGTGGAATAAACCCAAACCGAGGGAGAATTAACTCCACCATACAACACATGCTCATCTAAATGCAACTTCCAAACAACAACAAAATATGCTAATATTTAATTCATGAACCATGTGATTTAGACTCGGATTAAGCCAAAAATGATCAACAAAGGGGAAATATACTCTATCAACAATAAATAACAGAAAGCAAATATGCCGGGACGTGCACCACAAAGTTGGGATCGATGTCATCGAGTTCAAATCATAGCACATGATAGTATAAGAAGGCTGAATTTTAAGAAATAAGTCATGGCAAACAAGCAATAATTGAACTTCAAGAGAAAATAAAGTGACACAAAATAAAGTTTTTTTTTTTTTGCACAGTAAACTGCAAATGATTGAATATTATGCATTTTACAATAAAAGGGGATTAGCAACATGCCTCCTATAGTAAAACGAATATATTTCATGGAATAAATAAGTTAGCAAATAATGCTAACAATTTGGGAAGAGACAAGAACTAGAAGTAAACCAAAAGTTAGAAGGAAACAACATCTCCAAATTTATACAAACTCCACTGTAAATGGCGAACAACTCTTGGTAAATTTTTTTATATTTTTTTTAGGGCCCATTTGGCCATGCGATATGGAATCATGATATGGTATCATGATATGGAATTATGAGATGAAATTGAAGGTTTGTTTGGACATGCGATATGGAATTTTTGTGTAGTATATTTTCTCATAAAATAAAAAGCCCATAAGTTATAAAACTATTAAAATAGCCCCAATTGTTTATTCAATCTTATCAAGTAAACAAAAAATTATAAAATCGCATAATAAATTATTACAAAGTTATTTGTTCTCCACTTAAGTAATTGTTTCATCTAACTTTAATTTAATAAAAAAAATTGAACATAAATTGTAGTGTACTAGTCTTTAATATAATCCTCCCACATAGTACGGACAATTTCCTCACGTTGGGCTGAATTTTAAGAAATAAGTCATGGCAAACAAGCAATAATTGAACTTCAAGAGAAAATAAAATGACACAAAATAAAGTTTTTTGCACAGTAAACTGCAAATGATTGAATATTATGCTTTTTACAATAAAAAGGGGATTAGCAACATGCCTCTTATAGTAAAACGAATATATTTCATGGAATAAATAAGTTAGCAAATAATGCTAACAATTTGGGAAGAGACAAGAACTAGAAGTAAACCAAAAGTTAGAAGGAAACAACATCTCCAAATTTATACAAACTCCACTGTAAATGGCGAACAACTCTTGGTAAAAATTTTGTTTTTTATTTTTTATTTTTTAGATAAAATAAAGGTCAATACTTGATTCAAACATATCATATTAGGTAGTGAGATAACAAAAACTCCATGAGGTAAAAACAAGAAAGAAAAGACGGCCCAAAAAAATAAGTTGTGACCCACTTAGGTTCAAATATTGAAATTTCAATCTTAGCATGATTCATGGTGAAAATAGCAGAAAGATGGAGCAGTAAACAAACACGAAATGAACACTCGAGAGGCCTGAAATAATCAATTTATCGATTCAATCTTAACTTGGTCAAACTAAGCCAGACTCGAAATAAATTAAGTCAACATAAAAAGTGACGAAGACTACACAACTAATACTATTACGAATGAGAATTAAGAGGTACAAACAACTAATATAAGGACTATACATGCTACTTAGTTGAACATAGATAGAGCACACACCATAAGAAAAGGCAGTAAACTACTCAGCTCACACTATTTATACTAGCTAACATAAATGAAAATAAACCTACACATCAGATTGTGAAAACTAGCATTCTGGACTCGAAAAATTCACAATTGAGCTAAGTCATGGCAACCAGGTGAGATCACTCAATTTAATGAGAAGAAACTAATCATGAAGTAAATAATCTCAGCTTAAAAGGGGTCATCAAATTTCAAACAACAAAAAAAAAAAATAACCGAAATCAAAATAACTAAACTAAGCGAGTGATTAGACCATCCATATTACCGATTTACAGCCAACATTCAGCCATAATGCGCCTCAAATCATAACATTTGAACACTTACTCAGTCGAGAATCAACTAATCAACACATTAAGGATAAAGAGACATGGGCTGAAATTAGATATTACCTTTTGAGAGGCAGAGAACTGGGAATGACGAGCTTTGAATAACGACGAGCTTCCACCACCACAACAAAGTTTAGTTGGAGAATCCTCAGAGTTCCCA